AGTCAAAACTCCAGAAAATGATAGGGTAGGGGGAAGATTTTTTCGTAGAGAGAGATCACTTATTTTCTATTCAAATTGAAATGTTGCACTTTTATCAGATTAAATTCATGCTTATGTTTTGGGTCCTGTCCGTTTTAATTTGGAATGATACAACCTAATTTAATTTAAAACGGTGAAATGATGATTTTTCATGGTTTATTTCCTTTTGTATTTACGTTGAAACTATTTGTGATTTTCTATTTAATCAAATTTAATTTATTCAATTTTTGACTCATTAAAAAAATTTATTCGATCACAATTTTTTCTTACTAAGTCACAGCGAGATGAATTAAATCGTTTGAACCAGCTTGAGAACGAGTTAAAGAGGAGTGAGAGCAAGAGGTGGTCTGATTTCAAGAAAGAACACGAACAAGAAATGGAGAACATCCAACAAACATTTAAGGTTCAGCGATGTGATGAATGGCTGTTATGTGTTAGAAAATTTCATGTCATCTCATCATCCCATCACTCTTCAATCCAATTCAATCTTCAATGGTGATTGTGAGGGTAATGATTGTGATGCCACTGATGATGATAACTTTAAAGATTGATTCATAAGTAGGAAATTTCTTTGAAAACGAATTATTATTCAACAACATTGCTAATAAGTAACTAATTATCAAAACCAGAAAACAGCTGCTACATTATTTATTATTATACTCAATCTTTATAAATAACCCACGCATAGATGGACAGGTCAAAGTTGAACCAAGAGTTCAAGACCATCAGGGAGTCAATCTCCCTACTGGCCGACAAACAAATCGATCATCACAAATCCATGCAGGAAAAACTCCAGGCCGAAATATTAACTAGGTCAGGTCAAATTGATACCGGTAATTCATTTCGGTGATAATGACAAAAAGTGGGTCAAGCCCCAAATTACAATACAGTGACTAAATGTTAATGTAATAAAAAATTTGAATTAATTGTTCAAATCGCTTGAAGTGAAGACGATAATTGAAGTATTATTATTATTATTGTTATTGCACACGGACGCATGTATTCAACAGGCAGCAGTTCGAGTGCGACACGCTGCGACAGATGACCACCTTAGATGAGAAGTTAATCAAACTTGGTTCCAACTACCCATCCATGGACAATAGCAAGAAGCCCAACGCAGTGAGTTACTTACTTACTCCCCGCAACATCACATCACTGATCACATCAGCGACCATTTTCTCTTTGATGTGAAATTTCATTATTGATTATACCTTGATTATAATGATTAATAATGAAACTATCATGGATATTATTACCACAAACGGTAGAAAACGTTTGTCTCGCTATTGTTACTGTGCGGTGCATATAATGCGGTACTTGCTGTAGGTACGTCGTGTGGTGTGGATTGGCGTCGTGTGGTGTGAATGTTACCGCTTTTGTAGGGCAAAGTTTTTAGTAACTATGAGTAAGTAAGGAGTAATATCTGAACATCTCTGCACTGGTCGGGGCTGCATCATAAAAAAATGTTCGCGTAACAGGGCAAGGGTCTGTTGATGCTTCGAGAGGTTGACTCACTGAAGAAGATGATCATTGACACGGAAAGAAACCTGGAACAGAAAATCGAAAACAGCATTTCAGTACTTATGAACTTTTAATATTTTATTATTTAGATTAGTTTCGAATAAAAACAGTTTAAATTGATGTACAGTTCTTTAAACACAGCACACCTCTATAAATTTTTTATTTCACAAAAACAAATCATCAAATCAGAAGCTGAAGCCAGCCCTCGCTGTCGGTAAAGTTAGCAAAGCAACTCCAGACGTCAGCAGCAGCAGCAGCAGCCGAGGAAACGAGAACCTGGAAGAAGCACTTGAGAAATGTAAGCAGGCTGGAGTTAAAAATGCGAACGACCTTAAGAAAATGGACACGTGGAAGACCACTGTGAATGAAAGTTTGGACGACATCAAGCGGGACGTTGAGAAATTGAAGGCACAGGTAGAAGCATAAATTATACATGCTCTTCTTATATAACATCATTTTATAATACAATTGAAAGAGAACATCGTTAAAAGCTTGTAGACTACGGCGAAACAAAATTTATTTGATGGAACTAATTTATCCTATAACGTGTAGTTTTAAAATGTTGCAACAACATCATCAAGGTTTTGGTTTGGCAACAACGAGTTGAATATTATATTATGACTATACATCTGATCAAAAATTAATTAAATTTAATCATTCAACCACAAGTTAATGTTATATTGCGTAGTGTAATGTAATGTAACGCAATGTTAAATTACGTAATTGTTATAAAGACGCGAAAACTGATGTCCAATCCTTCGCCATCCAGTTCACCCAACGTCCCAATCAATTCTTCCCACAAGGATCTCGACATGTTGCATGATATCAATAGAAGGATCCGAATAATGGATGTATTCCTTTATTTTTTTTTGTTATATTCTTATTTTCAGCAGTGCAAACACATGCGTAAATGTTTACACAACACACATACACACGCAGACACACACACACGCACAACACAAGCACACACATGCTACACAACGGATAGCTAAGAATGTATTCTGCATTTTCATCAAATAATAATAATAATAGTGATTATTGCATGCTAATTTTTTCAATTCAACAAACACAGGAATCGATAGATGACTACAAAATCTTCAAAGAAACTACGAACGACACTTTGGAAAATTTGAAAAGGAAAATGAAACTGTTAAACGACTCGGCCAATAAGAATCCAGATAACAAAACTAGGTCAAGTGATGAATATTCAGCCTCCCCGCGATGGAGGGAGCAGATAGAATTGAACGTGGAAGACATTCAAAAGGAGATCAAACATCTGAAAGAAAAGGTTGAATGGACGCCCGCCATTATATTTTTATTTTCAGCAGTGCAAACCCACGTATAAATATTTACACAACACAAACATAATACACACACACACACGTACACACACAAACACGATATACACACACACCAAACACACACACACACACGTGCCAAACCACAGATAGCGAAGAATGAACAAAAGATGGAAAATTTGAGAAACGATCTGGAGCAAGAAACCAAACAAAGGTAGTCAAAAACTTTATACTCTCTGTAGCTGGTTGGCGAGAAAGTTCAGTTGGACGGCAACAGTTAGGCAAAAACTCCGTCGTAATAACTTATATGATGTTGCATGCACATACACTAAGGTGCATGCAACTCATCCTGTGAGGATTTCACAGCCCTCGTGGCTCCGACGTTTAATTGTAACTAAGAGAGGAACCTTTTATAAAAAGTAGATCGAAGTTTTGTTAGAGCTGCTTATTAAAAAGCAGCACTACGACTTGATTGACTTGTCATCGTGTGTTTGATTTGATAAAAATTGATTGATTGAAAGATTGATTGACTAATTGATCGATTAATTTATTATTAGTATAGAGTTGCATTTTGAAGTACGCTGGCTAATGTTTAACGACAATTAAAAACCTTCTCACACAAAGTACACGCATGTCCAAACAACATTGTAATGAAGCATTGTAATAATCTTTCTATTTACGATGAATTAATTTTTAAAATTAACCACAAAGAATGGATGATGACGAAAAGTTGAAGGAACAGATTGAAGGAATAAAACCAACGTCTACCCCGCCGACACCAGTCGACAAGCCCAACTCTGTATGCAGTTGGACTAAATTTCATTTAGTCATTCATTCAGTCATTCATTCATTCAGTCATTCATTAAATGTTTTGTTAGAAATTTCAATACTCAAAGTCAAATAAATTTTTCAAACTCATCATTATCATTGCAGTTGAAGTTTTTTTTTTTTGAAATTTCAATTACGTCTATACTGCTGTCACTCAATTTAATTATCACAAAGTTGCCACTATCGTTTGAGTTTAGATACAAAAGAACAATCAATGATAGCAATATCATTGATTAAACGACACACAAATATCAACCAGATGATACAATAATGATATAACAGTATGCAATTATTAATGAGATGATATGGTAATCAGTGACGTAATAATGACTTGACAATGAAAAAATGACACAGGCCAAAGAGGGTTTGAAGAAAATGGCGAATGCTCTACAAGGCACGAAGAACGTTCTGGCCATGAAGATGCAGTATGAAGAAAAAGAGGTAAGTGAAGATGAAATATTTTGTCTCCTTTGAACTCAACAAACTCACAATCTATGCTGGTATCATGTGCGAATGTATCAAGCAAAACTCGAAAGAACCGATTTTTTTCGAATGTGCTGTTTGCCACTGAAATTATCTCAAATATAAGTTAATTGAATTATCGTTCTCCTCGAGAGAAGAGGCATTTCACAATCTTTTATTTGATTGTAGTATTCAGAATCCTTGAGAATCATACGATGATTTCATTTTTAAGATTGTAATTAAATAATATCAACTAATCATTAAACTCCGAAACCTCGACAGAGGAAAGGTGCGGATGACTTTCTTCAGAAGCAAATCGATGAAATCAACACATTACTCGATGAACTGGACAAAAACGTACATAGTAACAACAACAAAAACGACCCTAAGAGCAATGAAAACAAAGATCCTGATACTGCAAAGAAAAAACCGAAACCCAAAAAGAAAGATAGCAATGACACTGCATCCAAATAGAAACAAGTTCGAAATTAACCTCCAACATTGTGATCAATACTGCAGTTTTTATTATCACCCTATTTTTTATCATCCTCATCAGCTTCATTGAACTGCTGAAAATTTTCTTCCCTTTTATGACTTACGTATTTTATTTTCCTTGTTCCTTTCCAATAAAATATTTTATTTCTTTTTTTTTTATCTCCACGCGAAAGCAGCTGATTTTAAACTCTCGATATTTTCAATTCCTGTTTTACAATATTTAAATATATTTTATTGATTTATCATTTTATCGAAAAAGCCATTAAAACAATAATCCTAGAAAACAAATTATAAATTACATTAAAATTGCAAAACAATAAGACATTATCCACACTTACACACACGCACATACAAATATTAAAACTTGACGAATTTCTCAACAAATAAAGGATCATAAGAGGCCAGTCTCTCTCTCAGAATACTTTTTCCCAATTGCTGTCCCAACTTTTCCAGGCACTCAACGGCTGCATGGTGCGTAGGGGCAAACGAACTGTCGGTATCTATGTAATACTCTATAATTACGTCGAAAAACAGCTCTAGCGAACGTTTCAGGCAAATTTTGCCCAGCCCCTCGTATATTTCTGGTAACTGTTTAAGCAGGGTCTGAACGTAAAACGGTCGCTGGTCGTAGTTCTTTACATTGGCTGAGTCAGCTAAAACAGGAACAAGAGCTGTCAGTTGAGTTTTGGCAGATGGGGATATATTTGTGGACAGTTTTCTGAGCAGACATATGCAACCATCTGCAACCTCCCATGGTTCCACACTTCTTCTTGAATAACATATCGTCGACAGTCCAGTTGGCAGAGTGACAAATGTTATTTTTGGTCTCGTGTTAGAGTTGTTGTCTGCTTCTTGTGGCTGTGGTGAGGCTGGAGATGGAAAGAATTCATTCACTCTCTTTTCTACGTTTGTCATGGGCAAATTTTCAACTTGATTTTGTGTATTATCTTGCTGTTTAAGTTCACTCTTCAATTCTTCTTGTTCCTCCTCTCTACCTTTGGACTTGTTTGCATGATCCTTATAAATTAGTTTGATATTCTTCAGACCAGTTTGAATCCTCTCAATCATTCTAGGCAGACCATCCTCATTGTTTCGAATTAATGCAGCCAGGACCGAAGCAGACGAGTCTCTGACCGTGGGTGCTAGATCTTCAGTGAGAACGAACATTTCCTACATTGTACAGACATTCAACAATTTAAAAATAAATCACAAATAATAGATATTTAATGCTGTTAAACTTTAAAAATTAAAAAAGTAAAATAAAAAATTAACTGAATAAAAAAAAACAACCTCCATTAGATATTGAACAAATTCAGAAGTCTCCTCGTTATAACTTTCAATGATTTGCAGAGCCAGCAAACAAGCAGCATCCCTTGCTGACCAAACCGAATCTCTGAATATGCCAGACAACTTCATTGTGCTTAAGATGTCCCCAACTGCAGGTTTAATGTAGGATGGGTCGAGTTTTTTGATGCATTCGTTGAAACACTGGCAGGACATTTCTTTACATTCAGAACTACCAGAGATCAATTGCATTTTGTAAAATTCAAGGACCCTTCCAATGTTCTCCTCAATCTTCTTCTTTCCTAATCCTTTTGTAATGGTCATCCATGTTGCCTGGCTGTACCTCTGCAGACCAATAGCAATGCTATACCTTTAAAAAATTTAAATAAAAAGGTAAAATAAAACTGTTGAAAAATTAAGTCATCCACACATACCTGTTAAAACAAAGTGCCGGTAGAAATTTGTTTAGTGTTCCCTCGTCGAAATCATCCTCATCGTTGGATCTTGTGGACAGAATGAACTCTCTGGCACTGACACAAGCTGGCAGTCGAACATCAGCCCAATGGTCAGACATTCCTTTCAATATCAGATCGATAAATTTATCTTTTGTACCATTTGTTATTTCCTGATTTTCTTTTGACTGAAGTTGTTGCTGCCAGTATTGATAAATCTGACACTGAATTATAAATGTCTTCAAGAGTGTGCAACTACTCTCTCTAACAAATCTTTCCCTGTTGTTCAGAGAACATGAAATACAGGACAGCAAATCAGAGTCCACAAACTGAGCAAATGAGGCGCCACAGCCTGTTGCTATCTTCTGAATGCAACTGATCCATGTATCCAGACACTTCCAACTGACTGTATCTCTGAAAATCTGGGCTGAAGTCTCGTCTACATGAATGGGAGATAATGAATGAGTGTTGTTAGTAGAGGATTCTGTGTTGGGAACATTTGTTGCATGAATATCTGATGTTGAGTTATTAATAGAATTGTCATTGTTCATTTCGTGAAAAAGTTCTATAATTGAAAATTTCATGTCTGCATATACACGGCAACCTAACTTTTCACAAAGTGCCCCCAAATAAGAACCAGAAATATTTCTCAACTGGGCATTGTCTGTACTTAAACTTAACAAAGAATGCTTCTGAAAATCTAACAAGCATCCTTCAAATGAATTAATTACTGAATGGTTTGCATGATTCAAGAAAGTAACACCTACAGTTAAAGTTGTCACTTTGTCTGCCGTTGATAAATTTTTAAAATCATCACTGGTCTGACGCAAATACGATGTGATTTCCATGAACTCAGGGGACTCAATGTTAAAATTTTGAAGCACTAATTTCAATTTATCCATCCCCAAAGTTTGGTCAGACTTAACTGCACTGGATAGCAGCTCTATCCACGATGTTTCTTCCAGTTCGGACATCATAAAAAGTAAATTTTTGCAAATTTAAATATTCCACGAACTAAATTGTTTCAAAATTCAAAACAAACTTAAAAGTGAATTTAAGGTAAGAAGAACATTGTGGAATGTTGAAAATATACCATTTTAATTTCTATGTATAAAAATTACATCCATCCCATTATTAACTCTATACACTTTGAGTAAGTTTTTACATGACCTAACCTTAAAGCAACTATTGAACAAAAATTTTAGGAAAAACATTCAATTCAATGTAAGAACAGACGGGGAGCTTGTATTTATTCATTGAGTTCTCAGCGCAAGTCTAAATTTAAATTAAATCTTTCTTCCGACAATTACACTAAGAGTAACTTCAAATTTCGTAATTAAAAATTCTTCCATCAAAGCTAAAACAGGTTCTCACATTATTTCATGATCCTGTTAATTTTTACGATGATCGGAACCAGTGACATTGCGCCTTTAAGCAGGTATAAAGAACCAGTTTGCCGGTCCTGTTTGAAATACCCCTTCAAACCCTTGAAGCTGTAAATAGAGATAAATCCCTTGTGTATTTTAGGTTTACAATGCAAACGCTAATCTCGGGCATAAAAAATTCCTGATTAAAAAAACATGGTAAACAATTTAAAGATATATAATAAAAGATGTATGTTCATTCATTTCACATTATAAATTGATCTATTAACGACAGGACATCAATAAAAAAAAAATCGCTATATAGATTTGAGGATACTTGTTCAGTTTATCGTTGATATAGTTCACTTTTAAAAAAAATATGTTGCGTGGCATGGAATAACGATTGATTGATTGATTGAACACAAAGACACAGCAGACGCACACAACAAACACACACAACAAACACACACAGAGCCCAGATGAAATAACTCAAATAAATGAAAACCATTTATAACAAAAAAATAAAAAATCTTTGTATCTTTGTAGTCTTAATGCTTTGTATAAATGAAAAAAATATAGTCATCAAATACAGTTAATTTATTCATCTGTCATAAGTGGGTATAAAAACTCAAATACAAGTCAAAAACTTATTTTTTTTAATATCATTGATTTAATAATACAACGAATAACTATTAATAATATCGCAAATAAAATAGATAAATAAACATAATACACATAACTATAGATAAAAATCTATAATACGATTATATATATATAATATGCACATATATAAACTTTATCAAAAAACAATATGCGAATGTTATGAAGTGAATACAGGTAACTCTTCAATCTTGGCCTTCTCCTCCTCCGACACATTCCTGGCAAGTAGTAAGGTGTGGCCCCACCCACACGAGATCTTCTCAATGTATATGCCCTCCAGGGGTTTGGACTCCATTGGGGTAGAGGTCGATTTCGGGCCATTCTCTCCTAAGCACTGTTATGGGGGTTTGCAAAGTGAGCTATTAATGCTCTCTTCAGAATTATTTTTTGATTTACCATTCTTATTATAAACCAGCATCAATATGGTTATCATCGCTATCACTATGAATATTATAAGTAATGAATGAAAGGATTGAATAAACCCCCATAGAAAAATAAACATAGATAAACAAAGCATGGTAGAATAAAAGTAAACTTTTTATGCAAACATTTAAAATTAAAATAAAAGTATACCCAACAGGATTTAGGCTTCAGGTTTTGTTTCGCTTCAAATAGATAGAAATAATCGAGTAAGAATTGAAAAAAAACAATAAAACTGAGAGTAGATGGACTAACAAGTTCTCCATAAGTAGGCGATGAACCCCAGCTGATGAGGCTGTTGTCGGCTGCCAGAACTATGCTTTTGTGACTGAAACATTATGTACATTTGCCGTGAATACGTTAGGTAATGTAAGCAAGTAGCAGCTGTTTATATCTTTAAAATCAAAACTTTTACTAATTCTCACCACATGCAACAAACAACTCTGAAATAATTACAGCACAGTGATAATAATAAAATTAATAACAACGACAACGATAGTTGAAACAAATAAAATGTAGGAATTACAAAATCAAGAAACATATCTTACTTAATGAAAGATCGTATGGTAACTTAACATCAAAGCACATCGACGCCGCAGAGAAAACAAATATTTTTAAAATTATTTAAAAGTGCAAACCAGCATCCCAAGCACCGAACTTTCCAGCCTGACAAATCGTGGATGGGTTTGGGGTACATGGCTGCCTCACCTGTGGGCTTTGTCTGACCCCATAACAACAAAACACCTGTTATTGAAGGAAAAAAATGTAAACCATGAAAGACTACAATTCATTAAAAATTGAATGTATAAAATTATCATTTAAATATGATTAAATATTTACTTAAAAAATGATAGCTTTTTGAATATGTAACATTCATCGACTTAAATTTTTGAAGACTGTTTCATACTATTCAAAATTAGATTCAAGCTCTATGTTAAACCAGTTTAACAAATAAAAATTTGTTAAACCTAAAAAAATCACATTTCTACTGAAGAAAATAAAAACCTGTCTGAGAGACTGCCATAGAGTAAGTGGAACCTGCCCCAATTATTGTGGCTCCCCGATTAGGACCATCAAAAAACTTTATAAGGCGAGGTAACATTTCATCTTTGGCTTCTGTGTGGCCCAAACGTCCGTACCCTCCAAATCCCCAACTGAATACACGCCCTTTCTTGTCCAGGGCAATCTGGAAGACGAGCAAATAACAAACAAATGCAAAAAAAGTTAAGAAATCATGAAGGACAAGAGGATTTAGCATGAAAAATTTAAATGTCCTGTCCGCCAACCTATCACATCAACAATTCAAAGGTGGGACAATTAAACTATAAATAAACCTGCAATTATATGCATGAAGCATTTCACAATACTTAAAACTACTCACTAGCTATAACAATAACAACAACATAACGAACCACATGATTCTGTCCGCAGGCGACGGATGTGATCGAGACATCCTGCACTGGAGTTATCTGCCCGTCCCTGGTCTTATCAATAAACAACATCACTCTCTGTGGACGTGTCTTGAAGTCGTAACTCATCTGCCGGCAGCAATTGGAAAGTAATAATAATAATAATAGCCATTACAATAATAATAAATACAATAACAGTAATAAAATAACAGCAAAAAGGATGACATAAATGTAATCTTAACGATAACCTTCGCACTGGTGACGAAATACTTCCCATCAGAATTGTGCCCTAACTGGCCATACTCAGGACTACCAAAACTGTAGAGATTGCCCTGGAGGTCGACGATGACACTGAACTCTCCACCGCAGGCCACCATTTGCACAGGGGGACCTTTATGTAGCACCTTAACAGCAGGTTAGTCAGATTTTCATGCAATCATTAATGTTACTGATTGTGGTGTGAGAAGACAACATCCACACTATACAGACAATAATTTTTTTTTTTGTAACAAAAAAAAATCCAACATGAAAAAAGCAATAATAATGATAGCAATGAAAAACATCAATGTTTTCATCTGACGATTTTACTAATTTAGTAAAAAATATAGATAGCAAATGGTAAAGACCTTAGTTGGATGTGGTACAATGGGAGGAATGACTCTGCCTAATCCCAACTGACCAGACGAGTTGCTGCCTGCCGCAAACACTGACCCAGTGTCTAAAAGTGAAGTTAGATTTAACACAAATTACATTATATAAAAAATAAGGTTAAATAACGTTCCAGATAAACCATCAAACAAATATGAACACATATCAAACCACATAAAAAATCAAGCAAACAAATTTTTTCTCACCAACTAAAAATAAAGTATGAGATTTTCCACAAGCAACTTTTACAATATTCAGACTACTGAACGACTCAATCAAAGTAGGTACATCTCTTCGATCTTTGTCCCCAAGTCCTAACTGGCCAAAGTCATTGCGTCCTTTTGAAAGAATTTCATTTGACAGATAATATTCACCGAAACAAATTAATTTCATAATTTACATTGCTTAAACACAAACATCATTTTGTAGAATGAACTGATAAACTATTGAACATCTATAGAACAGACCCCATGAATAAATTTTTCCTTCGCTTGTAATGACGACACTGTGGCAAGCCAAACAACCGGACGCTATAGTTCTGATGGGAACTCCTTTTAATACTGAAACTCTGTGTGGACCGTACAAATTTCTGCCCGCTGTTGAGGTCAATTCTAAAAGGAAATTATTAACATACATTTAATTATTAAAACCATAAAAAAAAACTGATGTTTCCACAATCAGGGGTCTAAGAAAGAGCAAACTCTTGAAAAAATAAGTGTCGCTGACTTGTTTTAGGAGGTTGTTTCCTGCCTGTCATGTCCCAGTTTGTTCCCCCACTGATTAATAGTTCACCGACTTCTTTCTCTGGCTCTAAAATCTTATCATGTTGTTTGTTCAGTGTGCTAAGTTAATAAATAATAGAATAAAATAAAAACTAATCTAATGCATTTATAATAGCAGGTCGCACGACTTTTTAAAAAAAATTTTTTTCGTATATAAACTACTTTTTCTTATAAAGTAAAATTTGCTGATTAAAATAATACTAAATTTATTATTGTAGCATTTATAGTTACCGAGAAAACGAATTTTGAAAGAATTATTTTTACTTTCAACTTGCGCCATGTTAAGAGTGGCGCTCAATGTTAAGTGAGCATGGAGCGTTACATTCGCGCACAAGACGTGAAAAGAACGATTTAAAATTGAACACAACACAATTTTTCTTCTTGTTTTTATAACAGCTGTATAATAAGAAAATAATAATTATGAATAATTTATATTTATAATAAAATTTAATTATAAATGATTAATTATAATTATAAAATAATTATATATGTATCTATAATTTATATATATTATTTATATATTAAAATTTAATAATCATAATCATATTACAATGGTATTTATATTTTTATTATTATATTATAATTTATATATATATATATGTTGGGCAGCTGTTGAACTGCATGAAGGAGCTTCTGGGTTCAGACTGGTTGGCTGACCAATAACTATAAAATAAATTGATAATGAATTGAACAAAAAATTATGTCTCAACTATTTTTTAATTTTATTATTTTTACTAATTGTGGCATGGCTGAAAAAAAATTAAAAAAATTCACTTGAATTACAGTTTCAAAAATAATATTACAGAATGTTAATATATGATTATTTATTACATTTCTTAAAAAATTATTAATAATAATATATTATATATATAATATCATATATAATATAATAATAATAATCAAGCAGGAAACTTAATAGTTATGACCATTCTATTCCAAAAACACAGACAACCAATGGATTTTTGATCATGGGAAAAAATCAAAAAAAAATTTATCATATTGTAATTACAAAAATATTTGTACAGAATGTTAAATAAATGGTTATTTATCACATTTCTTCAAAAATTGTCGTTGTTGCTAGCAGTTACGAACATTCTGATGAAAAAACTACCAATACAACTCAAACAACGCATTTTGAATTTCGTGACTGCGAGGTGCACGCGGAAAAAATCCATAAAATATTTCATTATAATCTAATTTCAAAAATATTTTTACAGAATGTTAATAGATGGTTAATTATTACATTTCTTCAAAAAAATCGGTGTTGCTCATGAAACTTAGCAGTTATGAACATTCTTATAAAAAAACACAGCCAATACAATGCATTTTCGTGACCGACGGTGCACGCGGAAAAAAATCCATAAAAAATTTCATTATACTCTAATTTCAAAAATATTTTGACAGAATGTTAATAAATGGTTAATTATCACATTTCTTCAAAAAAACTCGGTGTTGCCCATGAAACTTAGCAGTTATGAACATTCTTATAAAAAAGCACAGCCAATACAATGCATTTTAGTGACCGACGGTGCACGCGGAAAAAAATCCATAAAAAATTTCATTATACTCTAATTTCAAAAATATTTTGACAGAATGTTAATAATTGGTTAATTATCACATTTCTTCAAAAAAAATCGGTGTTGCCCATGAAACTTAGCAGTTATGAACATTCTTATAAAAAAGCACAGCCAATACAATGCATTTTAGTGGCCGACGGTGCACGCGGAAAAAAATCCATAAAAAATTTCATTATACTCTAATTTCAAAAATATTTTTACAGAATGTTAATAATTGGTTAATTATCACATTTCTTCAAAAAAAATCGGTGTTGTCCATGTTTAACTAACTTTATAAAAAAAATTAAAATACACCAACCTCGTAGCGAATAGTCTGCAACAAATGTGACTCACAACAACAAAGAAAAAATATTTTTATAATAATACACATTTCTTTCATCGCTCATAACAACCAAAAATTATATAGATGGGCGCATTTTCGAAAAATAAACAAAAATAACGACGACGAAAACGCGAGTTTGCGATAACAATGTAAATTCACTTTCAGAAAAATTCGTTAAAGTTCAGCGCGCGCGCTTCCGCATTTTTCAACGTTATGCGACCTGCTAATTTATAATGTACTCAGCTTGCTAAAGTTACTAATGCTTAAATTGTATTATGCAAATTTTATTCTCTGATAGCAGTTTTACAAAATTACTGAATATGAGATACCATGGTAACAGCATCTGATCACCACTACGACACTACGGACTGCTCCAACTGTCTAAATGCAATGCCAAAAACGAAAGCATACGGCAGTGTACAATACAAATTACAAATAAAACAAACGCACTAACAGTTAAAATTAAATATTAATTAACAAAAAATATAAAAAAGTAAAAACTTGAAAAAAACAAGACATTGAAAAAAAGATACTAGAGAAAAACATACACTAACCACTTTTAGATTGCTGTCAGCAGCCACTCCATTATCTCCGGCTTCTGTCAGAGCATCAATCCCGTCAAATAAGACCGGACCACCATGGTCCCCATCACTGAAATCATCTTCGTCGTCGTCATCTTCGTGTTTATTCCTTTTGGTTTTTTTCCTTTTGTGACTTTTATCATCGCCGTTATCTTTTCGTTTCTTTGGCGGCATACTGAAGGACGACTTTACATCAATAAAATGATCGAGTTTATGAATTCTAAGTGGACGAGCGTGCAGACGAGCGTGCAGAGAGGTGGAATAAACAATGAAACAGCCGCCGGCACCAGCGCGCATGTGTAATGCTTTATTTTGATTTCGCCATGCTTCTCATTGTGTTGCGCTTAATTCCTTTACAGAAATAAACTTTGTGGTCCTTTACGCGTTTTATGGTTTGTTGTAAATATTCGAAACAATGGTTAAGTAATTTTTTTAAATGTAGTATTTATTCGACTATACAATTTATATTTCGCTCATTTAACTAATGTATATCCAATCATAACATCGTTTTGTTGTTTTTCTCCTAATAAACAAACCATAACTTTATGTATAGTAATAATGTTTTTTTGCAATATTATTCCATCGAGATGTGGTGAGGTGAGTTTAATTTAAAACAATATCAATATAACTAAGTGGTATCATAGGATGAAACTTTGATACAAGTTTTAACTTTTTATCAAAGAGTTCTCAGCCTGACAAATGCTTATTCCCAGAGGCGTCATTTGGGGGGTGGCAGGGGGGGCAATTGCTCCCCCAAGAAAAATTATAAAATATTAAAATTATAAATTATAAAAGTGTTAATTTTAAATTCTTTGTAAAAAGGATATAATAGGATATATAGTTTAGTAATTTTAAAACTTTAAAAATTTAGAAATTTTAAAAACTTTAAAAATGTAAAATTTATTATAATGTTACACTTACGAGACTAGGTAGTCGAAATAGTACTATATGCATACTTGTAGATAATGACATCTTCTGTAAATAGGAATTTTGTTAATAGTATTAATAAGTTAAGCTTGGTAGATCGGAGAATTATTCGAAGAATCGAGAAACTATTATATAGATTGAGTACTGTAAAAAACGCCGTGATCTTTATTAATATATATATATATATATATATATATATATATATATATATATATATGTTACATGCTAAGTCATAGACCACATAAGTTTCCCCCCCCAACCAAAATCTGAAATGACGCCCCTGCTTATTCCAGATGCTATCATTATTGCCTCTTAATCATTCTTAGTTACGATTAAATTTCTGTGCTACAAAGGCTGCAACAACGATACGTCGCTAATGCACATTTGTTTGCAGCAACTACACCACACGACAAACATGAGCGCCGCCAGTGGCGGGTCTAGACAACTTTGATGGGGGGAGGGGTAAAATTTTGAAAATGTTTAACTTTTGACGGGGTAGGCCAAAATATTCACGGGGAAAGACAAGATTTGTGGTAATATGGCTGACGACAATTTTTTAGTCGGTTTAATGCATAAAACTGTTTTTTTTACTTTTTAAAAATTGCTCACAACGGAAGGGGGTGCTGTGCCCCCTAGATCCGCCACTGAGCACCGCATTATAAGCTCAAGGGTACATGGCAATTTTTAAAATTTCTGGTAGGCGGCAGTCGAACCAGGGCAGCGTGCCACAATGACATTGCAAGACAACACTTTTGCCGTCTGAGCTACCTGACCATCTTACGTTTATATTCACACTTAAAAAAGACAACCAGGCTTAATAAGTTCTAACATTTTTGCGTTACGTCAGCTAATTTACGAACGAAAGCGTGAAAATGTAATTAGAAGAATAAAAAGATGCATGCGATTGCAACATGTAGTAGATGTGATCGTCGGTGGCAGCTAAAAATAAACTGAGTTAAATGGAATGAAAATTTAAATGGACCTCAGGTAAGAATTAAAGCATGTCGATTAATTAACAACGCTTTCCGTTCCTAATTATTTATTATCAAATTTATAAATTCTATCACTACTACGACGATTACTTATATTACTACTACTACTACTACTACTACTGTTACGGCTACTACTACTACTATGACTACTTCAAAAACTAATGATAATGATGATATTCTGAAAAATTTATTTTTCAAATGACTTAAATTTTGTTAACTAAGTATAAAACAACATCAGACCAGATCAACAA